TAAAATCTGAAAATGTGTTTTTATTTATTTATTTTTATTTTTTCCCATTAACACAAGACAAGTTCAAACAAGTCTCTCAAGTCTCTCTCCAGTTATCTTTCGTCACCGTAGCTTTGTTCGGAATAGCATGCTACCATACTGCTTTCTGTAGTATGTACACTGTGCAAAGTGTTCCTGACTAATTGACTACTACTATTATCAAAATGTCTAAATATAGTTAATCGTATAATAAATTGTAAAAATTGCAGTTTTCTAAAATTAAACGTCAGCATGAAATAGAGAAAAGAATATATACACACACACACACACATATATATATATATATATATAATAACAAATTATATGATTATAAAACAATAAAATAATATTATATCTCCAGGGTTATTGTTGTTAACTCAAACTTTAAAAATGGTTTTAAATTGCTTGAAATAAAATAAGCATTAACTATATTAAACTTATTTTACTTAAGCTAGTTGCCAAGACAACATTTCTCATTTTTGTTTAGTTTGTTATAGACATTAAAAAAAAAACTAATAAAATGACAAATACCCAAAAATACACTGGAAATAGAAGTAATATCATCCCAACATTTCCTTTTTCTTCTTTTTTTTTTTTTTTTGGACTGCCAAAGGTTAAGGCATTTATATCTGAATTTAGATACAAAATAAGTGTTTCCCAAAATAGTAAATGAATGCCACTTGCTCAAAATAACTGAAACGTTCATTGTTTCATAATGTGTTCTGTTTCACACACTATAAAAAATTGTAAGCAGCACATACTCGTATTTAATACAATAGTATTCCATTCTAAATATGGCATCGCCATTCCAGGGCATCTTCCCGTCTACATTATGCCTCATGAAAGTTGTTGTTATCATCTCAGGCGTATTCATATCACCAAGGCCACACTGAAATATCTGAATGGGGATTATGATGTGGAACCGGGATTTGGTGGAGAAAGAAACGTCTATCTCAAGAAGCACAACATTGAAACTTACCTCATTGTGGGCTGCAGTCAGAAGCAGGTGAGACATTTTTTTCCTCTTCATCAACGAATGGTATCAGTTCTATTTTATTATAAATTCAGGTGAAATAAAACATTCTATGGTCTACTTTCACTTGCGTATTTCGAATTGCTTATTAATCTTTGTAACCTGAGACAGTTGAGGTCAACATGCTGTGATTCTCCATTAATATTCACATCCTTTTCAAGCAGAAACACCTAGTGCTCAGGAATAGCATGACTCACATGATGCTGGCAAGCAGATGAATGCAAATAAGCTATGTGGATAAATTCAGGGAAATGTGACGTCAGAAGACAAGCTAGTTATTGACTATGATATTAAAAAGCATGGACCGCTAATACTGCTCTGGTTTTGTATTTCCCTTCACAGAAAGAAGAAAAGGCCATGATTGCTAAAATGAACCGGCAACACACCAACTCGGTCACACATAATAGCACTCACTGGACCGACCGGCCCTTCTACAATCACCTGGGTGGAAATCAAGTTTCCAAAGAGATGAAGAGGATGGTGAGGAAACTACACTTTTGAAAGGGCTGCATTAACCACCCTTGTGTGAAGTTGTGAAAAACAGTTGGTTTGCATTTAGGCTAATTGCTGTATCTAAAACCCATTACCGCCTCTGTTGGAGGATAAGGCCTTTGACAGGGGTGGCTTTTTGTACCATGTGTTAACTAAGCCAAAACAATCCCAAGGACATTGCTTTAGGGCCACATGTAAAGGGCCTCATTCCTTTTTTTTTGTGTAGTCCCTGTTCTTTCATTCAGTTCTCAGCTCTGGAACCCAAAGGGAACGGCACTCTAATTAAATAAACTTGGATTGCCTCGCATACCGCCCTGAGGGATTTAATCAGGCAAAGTGGAACCAGCAATTAGTTCCTGTGTGCTTCATGGGAATACCCTTTATCTTTTCTTTTTTGTCTGAATCACCTGTTCCTTCTCATCTTGGTTAACATAGTAAGAAGGAACACAGAAATCCAGCTTAATAACTTGTTCTCGCTACAACTGATACGTTATACTGAGATCTCAAATAAAACATTACAGGAATATTGACCTTTCCATTATAAAAAGATATGTCTACAGTTTAAATTTACAGTAATATGAAGTTTTTTCTATGTTAGAAAACTTTTTCCAATCCCAGTTTAATGTACAACTGGGAGTTAGCTGTTAATTAAAGCTATCCATTCCCATTCCCATTCATTACACTTAAAATTAAAATCTAAATTCAAAATATTGCCAAAAACTATATTTCTATGTTAGAAAACCTTGTCCAGTCCCAGTTTAATGTACAACTGGAATTAACCATTCATAGGTTGATTTCTGCTAAATAAAGCTATCTATTACCATTCTCATTCATTAAACTTAAAAGTAAAAAATTAAAAACAGAAAACATAAAAATTGCAGTTGCTCGATGGCACAGGATCCTGTAGAATTTTATGATTTTAAATATTCCAACATAAATGTGCCACATCAGTTTTCAGCTGATCATTAGGGCTCTAGAAAACATCAACGATACTATTATGAAATATTTGTAAAAAAAATTGGGGTCAGTAAGATTTTTTTCACCAAGGATGCATTAAATTGATCAAAACTGACAGCAAAGAAAGACATTTATAATGTTACAAAAAAAATACTGTTTCAAATAAATGCCGTTTTTTTTTTTTTTACATTTTCCACAAAAATATTAAGCAGCACAACTGTTTTCAACATTGATAATAATAAGAAATGTTTCTTAGCATATTACTATGATTTCTGCTTCATGTGACATTGAAGAATGGAGTAATGACTGATTAAAATTCAGCTTTGTCATCACAGGAATAAATTACATTCTGAAACAAATTAAAATAGAAAACTATTTTAAATTGTAATAATATTTTAACATTACTTTTTTGACAAATAAATGCAGCCTTGGTCAGCATAAGAGACTTCTTTACAGACCACAATCTTTTGAATGATGGGAGAGGGAGAGAGAGAGAGAGAGAGAGAGAGAGCAGAATGTTTTGAGATCTGCTTTTGAAAAAAATTGTGTAGTTACAACATCCACCAGCAGGGGGTTGGTAGATATATTGTATTTTGCTGTTGGGATGTGTTTGTCCAACCAATAGCAGATAGTGGGAACCTGTTTGTAATTATTTGTGCAGTTCTGTTTGATAGTGGCACAGATAAATCCAGCTCGATATATCCTGCTGGAGCTCAGACTAGCATGTAATTGCCGGATATCTGTCCACGCCTACACAAACACAGAGCATTGATGAAGGGAGATAAACATGTGGTGTTTTCTGACGAACAGAATATCTGTATCATAATAACAACAGCACCTGTTTATGTCTATTGTATTGTCTAGAGGCTTGCGTTGGCCCAGAAGGTGTTGGTTAGTCGAAGGAGAGAAACAAATGGTGTAACACCAACATACTGACTGGGTCATAGTCTCTGTTGAGTGAATACATGGAGGCCTGTGCGTGGGAGTGCATCTGAGTCTTCTGAGACTATAAATTTAGTGACTGTTATTATGCATCTAGCAACTTGTCTCATGGATGCTTTTTACTCCCATAATTTAATGTTTAGTGGTTAGAAATGACCATTAAAATGGCCATTTGGTATTTAATGGGAACATTCAGTCTGTTCCTTGACCCACATATCTGCTATTTTTTTTTATGTATTAAGTCTGTATCATTTAGCAGATGCTTTTATCCAAAGCACTTATTGTAGAGAATGGGGTTCTCATATTACCGGTTTTCAGCAGTCAATACCAATGCAAGTAATTTAAAAAAGTAATACAAAAATAATTTTCTATACCAATACTACAGCAAAAAACTAAAAAGTTTGTCATATGTTCTGGACACACTTGAATTTATGTTTTTAAAGTTTATATTTAAATATTATTATTATTTTTAATATTTAAGTTTGTTTTTCTTTAAACCTAAAAAGCGGCTTTTGCTTAGGGCTGTTGCGATAACCGCTATTGACGAGCAAACCGCAGAGGAATGCAAGAACCGCAGCAACCTTTTTTCATAGGGGTATGCCCTTCTCGTTTTACACTTCGTGCATGTGTACTGAATATTAAATAAGTTAGTAATGATAACATAATGTGTACCATGCTTATTTGAACAGAGGCTCCGTAGATTTGCACTTAACAAGCCTAAACAGACAGCGAATGAGAGAGAGATCAACTGAGCATGTGCAATTACTTATATATAGTCATATATATTTGTGAAAATTGGTTGTCATGTCCAAGGAAAGCCAAATCTCTGTCTTAGCAAAGACGCATTGCTGGTCAGCTGAGCCTTCTAAAGTGGCGCTCAAAGTTAATTGATTTCAACAGCCTGTTTCATTAAGTCTCTTTGAATGAATCAGCATTTTTGAACGTGTTGAATGAACGGTTTAAAGACTCACTCAAAGACAGTCCCTTGCCGCCACCTTGTGGCGCTTACCCAACATTTGTATGTGCTATGCATCAAACTTTGTTAAAATCAATTGTGACTTGTGCTGCCTGTGTAAACCAACCAGATGTCTTTGTAGGCAGTATCTATTTAAAACCCTTTGCAGAAAACAAAAAACACTAACCGTTAAAGCACATGTGAAACATGAGCCTATTTGGTTTCCTCTCCATATTTCCCATGTCCTCCTACCACGATAAATCAATGCCTCATCAGCCAGCTCTGTTTACTTCTGTTCTCAGTGGGGTCTGAATTGAAATTCCTCCAAAAGTGCTTGTGGTCATAAATCAAGCCACCTGAATCAGCTCTCAGCTTGTTTATACACAATGTCAGTCATCATGTATTCCGTTATATCAGTATAATTTCTCAGTCTCACAGCAGTGCTCCGTTTTCAACTTTGCAGTCTTTCCGTAAATGATTGTCTTTATTTATGTATATTTCTTGTATTCCCCAACCTCTCCCTTCTCTCTGTGTTTATATTTTGTTACTGCATTAGTCACTGCTCTGTTATTTGCAACATGACAGTATAAGAAATTAATAGAGATTTATACTTGTTTTGGAATGGGGTGTTGGGTAGATCATTGTTTTTTTATTACCCCAACAAGAAAAGAAGTTTGTGGTGCAAACGTTTTCCAGGGAAGATAGCTTTTAAATTCGCTCAATCCCTTTAATCGAGAACTTTTACTTTTGTTTTTGAGGTCCTCCAGAAGGGGTCACTGTTGTGCTGATTGTACAAATGCAGACATTCTAATGCTCATCCATTCTGCACTGATGTTTAATGCATTTCTCTTCCAATTTTGTTGCAGGGATTTGAGGATCCCAAAGACAAGTGAGTATATGGAACATATACTTCCTACCTCCACCTTGCATGCCAATTCTTTTATTAATAGTTGATTACAGAATTTGTCTCATATACACTACCGTACAAATGTTTGGAGTCAGCAAGTTTTTGGAAAGAAGTCTCTAATGCTTACCAAGCTGCATTTATTTGCTAAAAAATACAGCAAAAACAGTAGTATTGTGAAATATTTTTACAATTTAAAAACGTTAAATTTTAAAATGTAATTTATGTGACAGTAGAGCTGAATTTTCAGCAGCCATTACTGTAGTCTTCAGTGTGACATTAGAAATCATACTAATATGCTGATTTGCTGCTCAAGAAACATTTCTTCTTATTATTATCAGTTAAAAACAATTGTGGTGTTTAATATTTTTGAAGAAACCATGACAGTTTTCAGGATTCCTTGATGAATAGTTCAAATGCACTTGAACAGTAAACGGTACTAATTTCTTTCAAAAATAAAAAGTGTTACTGACCCCAAACTTTTGAATGGTGTATATATAGCTTTGCATTATATAACACTTAAAATAAGTAAAACTAATATTATGAAACATATAGTACAGACTTTTAAATGTGGTTGAATGCGGTGCATTCAAAGCAGTTTATTGGTTATAAAATAACCAATACAGACTCGGAATGCATCAGTTGAATTATATATCAATCAAGCAAGTACTTCAGCAACGAAAGTCTGCTGGTTTTGTTCAGTGTCACATAAGTAGGGCTGCTGAATATGGCAGGTGGGAAACTGCAAAATGGATTAAATGGCTGAAAAGGAGATAAGTCTACTACAGTTGTTGTACACAGATGTTGGCACAGATTCCATGCAGGCCTACTTAATAAGACACTAAAATATATTCAAATGTGATTGAACTGCCAACTATAAATGAACTAATCAACACATGATGCATGTAGTGTGAGCATATCCATCACTTTTCCAGAGGTGTTGAAAAGTATCAGAACCTAGAATCCTGGGTCTCTTGATACTTACGCATGTATCACTGTGCTTCTCTAGCATATTAACTAGTCAGCATTTATCTAAACATGTGAATGCAGATATGCAAGCCAGTTTGCTGCTTAAGGCAATTCACCATCAAACCATATACTGTAACTGAGTGACTACAAACCCGTTATATGTCCATTTTGACACTTCTCTGTCAAATGAGCACTTTCAGTATTTGAATACAAATGTAGGATCTAGTTTTGCTGATGTGATTTAGCAGTTACTGAATTGCATGAACATGACTGCAAGGCCTTGAATTCTTTAGCAGATGATTTGTTTTTTCTTAACGTAATCCGTTTTACTCACAATCATCCAAGGCTGGTAACCATGTTGATTCTAAAGCTGCCCTTAACTCTGTCATCATTAGTTTTTTGGGGGTGCGGTACTGCTGCTTTTTGGTGGTCTGGCTGTATAGTATTAAAGGGGTCCTATGATGCGATTTCAAGTTTTCCTTTCTCTTTGGAGTGTTACAAGCTGATTGTGCATAGATAAGATCCCTGAAGTTGCAAAGACTAAAGTCTCAAAACCAAAGAGATATTCTTTATCAAAGTTAAGACTCTGCCACACCCCCCTAAAATGGCTCGTTCTAACACGCCCCCAACATATCTACATCACTATGTGGAAATATTAGCATAATGATGCCGAAATGTGCACGCAAAGAAAGAAGGCATGGTGTCAGTAACCGCAGTTAGTGTTGAAGCAGCATGTCAGGGAGACGCTGTGTGTTTCTAGGCGAAGAGAGAGAGAGTGAGAGAGAGAGAGAGAGAGAGAGAGA